AGTATTGTGCAAGTTGAAAAATACATATCAATTTTGCACTGAAAACTTTTTTATTGAAATTTAACTGTAACCAATTACAATAAATAACTGTAAATTTTTATCAGAATAAGTAGGCAAAAACACGGTTTCAGTTTTTAAGTTGATCTCGTTTCGGCTTTGTGTTTAAATAGGGATGTTCTAGGATATACCTATAGTTATGTAGTTGCGAACCTCGTTATCTCCCTGTAGCATCGTATTTGATTGCCCTGCACGGGGAATACTAATGTATGATCCTGTGTGATCGATCAACCTGTAGGTGCTTGTGTACTGAACACAGAACATTACAGATTAATCTAAAGTTTGTAGTTCAAATACTACAAATTTAGATTTTCTAATATTTGAATAAAAATGTTTGCGTCTAGATTCGCAAACATGTTAGAACTTCATTTATCCGCTTCATTTACGGTCTCCGGAAGTATGTACTGGGATGGTTGCCGATTCGTCGATTTTCAATTTATGATATTCTTTATTTCCTCTACTTTACTTTTTACATCCCAAAATTCATGATTTATCTGCGTGAGCTAAAAGCGCTTACTCGTCTTCTCGTTCTCATCTCCAATTTTTTATGGAAAAAACACTTGACAAGTCACTTATGTTTAACCAAAAAAGCTCTAGTCGTTATAATTGTTCTTTCGTAATAGAAGCTGTCTTGTCTGTTTTAATAGAGTCTGTTTTACTCAAAATCTCTTTAACACATAATGCGGCCAGATTTTTTCTTAAAAAATTGAAGAGATAGATGAAGATAAATCAATTTTCACATTAATATTAGGTCTTTACTTATGAAGTTGGCGTTTAGTGTTCAGATCAATCAAAATGGGTACCCATGGCACAGATAACCCGATAATCCAGGGGTTATCTGTTTCCCATGGTATAAATGCATCTCTGCCAGCGTGGTGGTAATTCATCAATGCCCTTCTTGAAAAAGTCAGGTGTAAGGGAGCCAGCAAACTCTTCAAAGTTATATTGTACTGCCTCGCGGGTATCAATATTTTTCCTTGCCAAGAAGTTGTCCAAACTTTGGAGAAAGTAGAAGTCTGTCAGCGCAATGTCTGGTGAGTACGGTCGATGACGCAAAACTTCCAACTTAGCTTAGAAACCATCTGTTATAATTATATTAACCAAGGCCTACCGAAGATCCGCGAGCTTCTCCATCGTTGTGTCCAGTTACTCACATCCACACTAATGCTGGTACCATTTGGTAAGAAACTAATGAATTATACCGGCACTAGACAAAGAGTGGTCAGAACTTTTTAAGGGTATATTTTCGTTTAGGGCATTGCATAGGTGCTGAATTAAGATCTAACCGACATGATGATCGCTTAGAATAATTTTTTCATCGCAAGTGACAATGCTGTTCAACCCCTCTTCGTGTCTGTGTCTGTTAAGTAACGCAAAGCGTACCTTTTGATGTGTTCTTCGCGCTGGTGATCGTTCTATTCTAGCGCCATCCACTCATCAAGTTTATTTAATTTATCTAGTTGACACAAATAGACGAATATTGTTTTGATGCTAATATCATCATCATTATTCTCCTGCCCTTCTCCCAGTCATCTGGGGTCAGCGCAACATGTTTTCTCCTTCCATACTCTACTATCATATACTATTTCTTCGCTCACTCCCCTCTTACACATATCGTCTTTCGCGCAATCCATCCATTTCTTCTTAGGTCTACCTCTTCCTTTATATCCTTCCACGTTCATAGTTAGCACTCTCTTACCACATTTTCATTTCGTCTCATCACGTCATGTCCATACCATCCCAAACGCGCACTTCTCAACTTATCTGTCACAGGTGCCACTTTCAGACTTTCTCTAACATATTAGTTTTGATGGGAACATCAACAATGTTGGTTGCTGATGCTAATTCACGTTAGATTGAGTACTGTCAGTTTCCATTATCGCCTTCGTTCGTCGTTGTTGACTTTAGTTTTCGGGCGATCACAGGGTTCATTTTTAGATGAAAATTTCCATATCCGAAGCTTTCAAATCAATAACGAGACGTACATTCATTTCTGATGCTCTTCCTACACGTCATTAATGTTGTGAGGCATTTGTGCGACATTAGTACTGCGACAGAACTCGTATTCCATAGTTACTCGTATTTTTATCCAGCTCACACTGATAAAAAAAATACAAATTAAACGATAACAGAACACTAATTGATAAAAAAATAGAATTCCATATTTTTAAAATAAAATTAGTTTGATTTTAGAATGTATTGCCAGCCATACATAAATTACGTTTCAAATGGGCAGTGTTGTAAAATGGACGCTTCATAGGTAAATATAAATACCTATTATTGTTATAATAATCACGGAATTGTCATTTTGTTCGTTAGTTACATATTAAAAGTATAACTAATTATTTTAGTAATTTATCATATTGTACACCCTCATATGGATTCCATTTTGCTCTACTAATGGTTGGAATTTTCAGAGCAGAGACATCGGCACTTAAGCCCGCATACCGCTAACGGCTCAAACTGATAAACGCCTGTGTGGAGTGTGGTGTTTGAATATCCAACTGGTATAGCTTTCAATATCAGATCTTCGAGAATACAATATGTTAGTGCTTCGGCTAAAAATAAATGTCAAATTGTCAATTGTCAAAGTCGAGGTTAAGAGATAGAAAATCCTTAATACATGAATACTCGTAGAACGTCGTAGAAAAGTTAGCATATTGCTGAGAGTCAACAGTGGTTTTAAAACAGTGGAAATAAATTCTAAGATAAATTCTAACGATATAGTCAAAATCCACAGGGAAGAAAAATAATAGTTGATTTCCGCAAAAAACCTTTGTCAACCTTAAAGAAACAGTAAACTGCTGTGTATTCGTATAACTGTTAAATTCGTTTAATCATAACCTGTTATACCGAGTCCGTATTACAAGCGCGCCGAGAGTAAAGTTCGCTAACAAAATTGTCCCACCAAAGTTTGGGTAAACTTTTCCCGCATGTTTGTCAAAAAGTCACCCCGACGTCGTTAGGCAGCTCTTAACGTCCCTGATTAGTTTTTATAGTCGTACAATTTATCTAAACTTTCAAACTTCAAGATCAAAACAGAAAATAGTGGCCTCGTACTTGCAATTATCAAATGTTGAATCACAGATGACCTCGCTTAAGTACTTTGTTTGGGAATTGCGTTTTTCTTATCGTAGTTCAGTTGTAAACATCGTGTTTACTACTCGACTGTCGGTCACACACCACTAAAATCACTAAAATGAAGTAGTATGAAGTCGTCGTGGCCTAAGTACCAATTTTTCTGATGAAATACGTACCTAACAAATGTTCACGATTGACTTCCACGGTGAAGGAATAACATCGTGTAATAAAAATCAAACCCGCAAAATTATAATTTGCGTAATTACTGGTGGTAGGACCTTTTGTGAGTCCGCGCGGGTAGGTGCCACCACCCTGCCTATTACTGCCGTGAAGTAGTAATGCGTTTCGATTTAAAGGGTGGGGCAGCCGTTGTAACTATACTTGAGATCTTAGAACTTATATCTCAAGGTGGGTGGCGCATTTACGTCGTAGATGTCTATGGGCTCCAGTAACCACTTAACACCAGGTGGGCTGTGAGCTCGTCCAACCATCTAAGCAATAAAAAATAAAAAAATAAAAAATACACGAAGTAAGTGATTATCGGTCAATTTAGTGTGGATTTCATATTGATCTCGTCCGCCACCAACAGCTTTACTTCCTGTAAGATAGGGACTAGATTCCTGACGCTCAGTTTGAAGAATCCGTGTGTTTGCTAATAAAGCCAACGGACGCTACGCCTATTGGGGCCCTAATTTATCATTGTTAGTGAGCTTCAAACGAAAGCAATACCCACCCAGAATTCTTTTTTAACGACGACTGCTCCGAAAAGTTCGGATTAAAGCACATTTGATATCCTCCAATTAAACGTCGCCGCGTCGGTTGGGTATTACATAAGCAGTATAATTATATTTTATAGCATTGAAGCTTTCTGATTGAGTTCTAATAAAAAAAAAATTGGATTTTATGTTCTTTACAATCCACGCTTGTATGTCGAACGTTTTCTAGGAATTAGCACCAGAATCGAACGAGCTTTAGTCGATGTTTCGAGAATTTTCTTTCTTTGCGCTTTAACCTTTCCGCGACCGGAACCAAATTATTTGAGCGTGACGACTCTGATTTATTGGACGAATTGCTTTTATAAAAAACGTTCAATCGTTTTTGATGAGGATTTAGAGTTAACAATTTGATGAATTTTATGTTTGCCTTACGCAATATTGTTCTCATGCCCACAAATCTTTAATTATTATTATTGCCAGTACTTGGTATTAACAGGAGCCCTTAGATACTATAAAGTGAATTCTGCCACTCACCCCGAGACTTGAGGTGAAAATCTTAATACGGCAATTCTATTCCTCAGACCAGAACCAACTATTCATTATGTTGGAAATAAAAGCGTGGTAGTGAGGAAGAACGTTACTAACACAAAACTAAAATAGAGCTACAATACTTTTTATTTAGACTTTATTAGAAACAGATTACGAAGGCGTGGTCATTATACATTTAATTTAATAAAGAGGTTTAGTTAATCTCAAATGTATAATTTGAAAATTTTCACGATGACGTGACGGTAGGCGAACGTCTACTGGAGTTACGATTACTACAGCTCATAGATAATAACTACAAAGTGAGTGTTGTCGTTTGTTGCGAGCCAAAAGGTTAAAATTACAATTGAATTGTAATAAAGACTATCGAATCATACGAACCACAATGCATGATTACCAGGAATGAGTTACTATAAACAAATTAAGTCACGGAGAGATTTAGTACGCAATATAAAGAAAAGGTACATACTACTCTTGATATTGGCAAGAAAGTAATGGCTCGGGTTGTCGTCGCTTCGCAGCCTATAACTAAAATCCAGATGAAGAAAGCATTGTGCTATATGTCATAGCTTTGTTTTATATCATTATTGTTTGTTGCAGTGACGAAATTCATCCGTATCGGTATTGCTGATAAAAATGACAATCCGCCGTACTTCGACAAGGAGCTGTACGAGGCTGAAGTCGACGAAAATGAAGACATCCAGCACACCGTACTCACTGTCACCGCCAAAGATCACGACGAATGTAAGTACTATTAAGAAATTAATATTTTAGGTGTTATGATACAAATTGAAATATAAATAAAGTTTCGAGAAAAAAAATGAGCAAATGTTACAATGAAGGCTATCTAATACTTGGTATAAACTACATTTTAATGTAATGTTCACGAAAAACTATATTCACACAGAAGCTGAAAAACAGAATTTTTTTACGTGAGAGCTTTTGCTGTTTGTTTCAACTAAAAGTATTAATTTCATGATCTTTCATTTGATTAACCTCGTGAGAATAGATTGTCCGAATATACTCGCATTTGAAATGGAAAAAGGACCGAACAAACATATGTGTTAAACATATAGTCAAATGTTTATTTAGAATGCTCAGTAAACACACTAGAATTATCCGTAAATGAAAATCATTCAAAGCTATGTTATCGAGGGAAAGAAAACTTTAATCAAATTTTCTTTTTACTAAAATATTTTTCTCAAATAGAAAAACCCCCAATACAATAGTCATATGAAACTATTGTTAGTTTTTTATTCAGATCGAGTTCCAAACGAAAGAAATCGCAAAGTTTATATATTCAGAACCACACGCGAGTGGTGATCGAATGTATATTAGTTTCGGGAACACACTTTATACTTCTCGTGTTCTTGTTTTTTAATGAAGTACTTTTCTGGGCGATACCATCGTATTTAAACAGAAACTCATCGTAGTAATCTTTTACTAACTAACCTTACGGTTCGTGATAATTTGGTTTTCAAATTAATTATTTGAAAAAACAAACTAACTTAACGTTTGAGATCTATTTTAGTGGAGATGCAGATTAAATTCAATAAAAACTTGTAAATATGGAAATCTGCCCCAATATTGACCAGAACGACCAAACTGTAAATATAAAATAAATTTTAAATATACACATATTTCAATAGATACCGACCGAAATACGAATACCTCCTCCTCCTATAGGTCCTATAGAACTCCTTCACTAGAAGGAGTACTCTAGTTAAAGTAATATGAATAATTTTAATAAATTAGTTAACAGCTTATCAATAATTCACTGAATAATAAATTTAAATTATTAACATTACCTATGTTGTTTGAAGAGTATACAAATTTTACTAAAAGCTATTGACAAAGCATTCTGTACATAGTATGTTTATATTTTCTTGGATCATTGTTCGGATGCTTTGTATAGTGAAGGCTTTGTTTGAATTCTTTTAAGTTCATGTAGATATTCTTGTCGTTGTCAATAGAGTCAATGTTATGTCACGTATCGCTTATTTGATAACAGAATATTATATTTAAAATGCAGTACTTATATCAGGTACTGTAATTAAAGTATTGTGCTAAATAACATGTATGACGGTGGATTCTAGTATTCACAGACCTTATTTCTATATATTTTTTTGCACGTTTTGGATATTTTCTGAATAATTTTAAGAACTTTTAATTTAAATAACGAAGGCTTACTAAACAATCACCGACTGTTTTTACACAAGTAACTTTTTTTACTGCACCAACAACTAAACAATGAACATCTTTTTTTAATTAAGTTCGTGTTAGGCGTACTTCTTGTGTATAAAAGGTATGAGTCTGAGCTTGGGCATGTAGAGTTGATGTCATTCCCTAATAATAAATAAATGATTTAATCTCTTCAGAGTCTCACAATAGTTATAAAAACTCCACTGCGAATCGTTGGCCTCACTATAGTTGACCCTAAGCAACCAGTCAAAGAATCTATACTAATATTATAAAGAGGAAAGATTTGTTTGTTTGTTTGTTTCGAATAGGCTCCGAAACTACTGGACCGATTTGAAAAATTCTTTTTCCATTAGAAGCCGACATTGTCCCTGATGAACATAGGCTACTTTTTTTTTAATTTTTTTTATTTTATTTTTTTGGTTTCATGTGTGTTTTAATGTTTCCGAAGCGAAGCGAGGGCGGGTCGCTAGTTTATTTATAAATTCAGTTTCGCTGCAGTGAGATATGTTTAAATTTTATTTATCTCATTGCACATATATGGACACAGCGAGTAGGAAAACTTGCGTGCGATTTAAATTTACATTTCGGAATTTGGCAGGCATAGTACCTGCGTCGCTTTCGCACGTGGTCTGGGTAAAAATGTGATTTCGGCTATTGTTTTTCCAGTGTTGGAATACAATTAATTTGTCGGAAAATATATGGATTTAAATGTTCAGATATTTAAGGGTGGCTTATTGGGCTCTTTCAACAGTGGCCCAGTGCCACCGCCATGTGCTTGATAATAGATTGGTCAGAGAAAAATTATTAGAAACTAACTTCAATCATCTCTTAAATATTGATTGCCCATTTAAATTATACGACGAGCTATCAACTTTATTTAGAGACATATATAACCAATGTTATAAAGTAAAAAATATGACTGGAAACAGAGACTATAGAAATGAAAAGTACTGGATAAACAACAGCTTAAAAAATATGGTTATTGTAAAAGATAGATTATTCAAAATATGGTGTAGCGATCCAAAGAATATGGTAAAAAGACTAACTTATACTAGGTACAGAAATAAATGTCAAAAGGTAATTTTTAAATGTAACGTAGAACATGATAAAAAAACAATTTTAGATTGTAATAATAATATTAAAAAAGTTTGGGATAAAATTAATGAGTTATTGGGTAAAAATAAGCAGTCTTTGGATAATCTAATCTTAAGTAACATAACTAAACAGGACGGCACGCAGGCAGTCTGTAATGAATTTGCTGATACATTCTCAAAGGAAATTGATCAAATAAAGCACTCCTGTGATGAAAAATGGCTGGAAAGGAAGACTTATGTTAAATTGTCTAATGTGTGTATGAGATGGCAACCGGTTAATGGCAAGGACATAAAACTAATAATTGATAAAATGAATAAAAATAAATCACCGGGAAGTGATCTTATACGCATGTCTGATTTGAAAATAATTGTTGATAAGATTAGCCCTGTTTTATCTAAGCTGATAAATCTATCTGTAAAATACCACAAATTTCCACAAAAATTAAAGGAAGCAATCATTCGTCCGGTCCATAAGAGAGGTGATCGTAAAGTATTTTCGAATTACAGACCAATAGCTATACTATCAAGTATTGATAAAATTATGGAAAAATGTGTTATCAATCAAATAGGAACTTTTTTACAAAAAAATAATATCTTAACGGAATGTCAACATGGCTTCCAGAAAAATAAAAGTACCAACACCTTATTATCAAATTTTACGGACGAAATTAATGCACATTTGGAAAATAAAAAAATTATTGTAGCTATTTTTTATGATTTTAGGAAGGCTTTTGATACCCTACAGACTGAAACCCTCTTAAATGGAATGGAGGAGTGCGGCCTGGGGCAGCCGCTGAACCCTTGGTTCAGCGACTATCTCAGGGCGCGCTCTTACCGTGTGAAAGTCGGCGATGCGTTCAGCGAGGAGAAACAAGTAAACTGCGGAGTTCCCCAGGGCTCCGGATGTGGGCCCGTGTGTTACCTGATGCACGTAAATAGCCTCTGTGGAGTATTACGTCACTGCTCCGCCCATATGTTTGCCGATGACCTTTGTACTCTGAGCGCTAGTACCGACCTCGCGGAAATGTGTCGCCGGGTTCAAGAGGATGTGGATGCGGTAGTTAAATGGTCACATGATAACGGCATTATATTAAACGCTGACAAAACAAAGATGATAATTATTCACTCCCCGTATTTACGTTCTATTGATAATCCGCCTCCTCTGATTGCCCACAGCTTTGATTGCTTCCACAATAAGAAAATTAACTGCACGTGTAATCCTATCGAAAAAGTTAATTGTGTAAAATACCTAGGAGTAAAAATAGATACCTCTTTTTCCTGGGATTCCCACATAGAATACTTATGTGGAAAATTAAGAATATTACTAGAAAAGTTTTATTATTTAAGTATTAAAGTTCCATTGCCAATACTAAAATGTTTATATTTTGCACTAGTGGATTCAATAATAAGTTACGCTCTTGATTGCTATGGATTAACATTTAAAACATACATAGATAAAATAGAATCATTGCAAACAAGATTTTTAAAATTACTCGTAAATAAAAAGACAAAGAATCAATGTAAAGGAGATTACTCTAAACTATATAAAATATGTAAAATTTTACCGGCTAGCCTGAAACATAAATATCTTCTACTTGTAAACAATCATAGTAAACAGGATCGTTTAACTAACTTGGTGCAACATAAAACTGGCACAAGGTCAATGTCCAAAGGAAAATTTGAAATACCCATGGTACAAAATTACTATGGAGATAGAACGTTAAAAAAACGTGTTCCATACTTACTCAATAGTTTACCCGAGGACATAAGACGTGAGCCTATACTTGCTAAATTTAAAAGCTTATTAAAAAAACATTTGTTAAATACGTTATAACCATTTACGTAAATTAATTGTGTTATTATAGTATAAGCTAGTTGAATGGTTTATACGCTATGTTTGTATAAAGCGAGTTACCTGCAGTCAAACTGCATAAGCAGTTTTGCGGGGCATGTTTTGAATGTAAGTGTAACTT